AGAAAGAAAAGGGTAGAAGAGGGAATTAAGAAGATAACGGGTAAATTAAATCAAAGAGATCTAGGCAAAGTCGAGGGAAGTCGCATATCTCATGAAGATAATTTGCTGGAATGTAAATGGATTAGGTTGTGGTCTTATGAGGAAGACAATTAAGGAGGTGGTTAATAGTGTTTGCCCCAACAAACTACTCTTGCAAGAAACAAAAAAAGAATTTGTCTATAGGGTTTTGATTAGAAGCATTTGGGAGTTGAGCTTTAAGGATTGGGTGGTTGTCCCATTCTTAGGTGCCTTAAGAGGCTTGAGTATTTTGTTGGACACTTGGGTTGCTAGTCGAGTGGATGTGATAGAAGGTTTCGTCTCAGTAACTGTTCTACTTAATATGAAAGGAAAAGAGTCATGGTGGATAACATGTGCTTACGGGCCAATGATGCAGACCTCTTTTGTAGGAGCTATCATTTCTCTTTGGATTGTGCAATCCACATTGTTGTGTTGGGAGAGACTTTAATGCTTGTCGATTCCTTCATGAGAAGTTAGGAGGTGGTGAGGAAACTATGACCATGCGAAGCTTTAATGATTTTATGCAGGATTGCAACTTTGCAGTCTCCCACTTAATCATGCTTGAGTCATCTGGTCTATAGAAAGATGAGGTAGATGTTTCATCGTGTATTAGACGCTTCTTGACTTTATCTTGTTGGGAGGACACCTTTCCGGATTTCATATAGGAGGTGTTGCCAAGGCCTGCATCAGATCATTTTCCTATCATGTTAGACTCCCAACATGTGCAGTGGGGCCTTACTCCATTCAAGTTTGGGAACATGTAGATCCAACATCCTGATTTTGTGGATAGAGTGAAGGATTCGTAGTAGGAGGACCTGGATAAGGTTTGGGTGGGGTATAAATTCATGCAGAAATTGAAATTCCTTAAGGAAAAATTGAGGAAATGGAATAAGGGGATTTTTGGGGGTATAAGAGGAAGACAGATGTTGAACTGAAAGATTTGGATACTTTAGCTTCGTAAAATAATATATTTCAGAGTCATTTAAATCGAATTTCCGACCTTAGGATACTTGAGGAGGTTTTGTTGAAAGAGGAGCAAAGTTTTAGGCAAAAGGTTAGATTGAAGAGGGCGAAAAAGTGTGATGCAAATACTAGGTTCTACCACCAGATTGTTAATGCTCGTAGGAGGAAGAGTGAGATTAAGGAGTTAGAATTGGATTGGGGAAGAGTTGAGCGAGATAAGGAGTTGATAAGGCATGAGATTACTGAGTTCTATCATAGGTTGTATACTGAAGAGGAGGTATCTAGGCCTTTCATTGGCAGTCCGTAGTTGTGCCAACATATCGAAAGACAATTTGAGGGAGAGGAGGTTGGGAAGGCTATTTAGGCTATATCCATTGAGAAATCCCTTGGTCCTGATGGGCCTATAGGAACCTTTTTCTAATCTTGTTGGGACGTTATCAAGAATGATGTGATGAAGGTATTCAAAGAATTCTATCTAAATGTGAAGATATGCCAAGATATGAATTCAACCTTCATAACCCTAATACCTAAGAAAGATTAATCAAGAAGAGTATCTAATTATTTTCCTATCAATTTGGTGACTAGTGTCTATAAAACCATTGTTAATGTATTGTTCTTATGCCTTCATGAAATTTTGAATGATACCATATCACCATATTAGAGTGCCTTTGTTGGAGGGCGACAAATCCTGGATGCATCTTATACTGCTAATGAGTCTATAGATTATATATAAAGGGCTAAGATAGAAGGGCTAGTACTTAAAATAGACTTTGAAAAGGCCTATGGTAGGGTGAATTAGGGATATCTGGACTTAGTGATGGCTTACAAGGGTTTTGGACCTAAATGAAGATCATGGATGAGAGGGTGACTGTCTTCTATCTCTTTTGCGGTGTTACTGAATGGTAGACCCCAACAATGGTTTAAGGGTACTCTAGGGATCAGACAAGTGATCCATTATCTTTTTTACTCTTCACTTTAATAGTGGATGGTTTAATTAGGATGCTTACAAAGAGGATTTTAGAGAAGAGCAATTGAAGGGTTTATTGTGGGGAATGATAGAGTTGAGGTATCCGACCTCTTTGCGGATGGCGTAATCCTATTTCTATCTCATTACAATAGATCTACCTTTAATGTACTTAACTTGGTATTGGTGTTTGAACTTATATCTGGGCTTCGCATTAACATGGAAAAATGTGGGCTCGTTGGTATTAATATGTCTGATAGCAAAGTCAACAATCTAGCAGATGTTATTGGTTGTGTGACTCTAGCATGGCCCATTACATATCTTGGTATTCTGTTGGGTAGTAACCCTAGGTGTAAGTCATTTTGGAAAGAGGTGGTAAGGTATCTAAGCGCTTAGACAAAGGGGGTTTGTTTTTGCTAGGTGGTAGGGTCACTCTTGTCCAAGCATGCTTGTCTAGTATCTCTATCTATTACACCTCCTTATTTAAGTCCTTGTTAGCGTGCTTAAGTGCTTAGAAAGTGCGATGAGGAATTTTCTATCGGCAGGTAATGGTAAGGATATGAAAGATGATCTAGTTAT